ATAAAAAAGTACATAATAATGACAACATGGCTCTATAAATTGCCGTTTTGTTTCGTCATACTTTTAAATATTATATTGTACATACTATTGTTTCTTTACACAATCCACTATATTTTTAAGTTCTTTTTAATGCAAAAAAATTAAAAATTTGTTTCATAAGTTATTTCACCGAATATATCTAAAGGTCTAATTTAACCATATACATTCAAAGTTTTAAATTAATTTTATCAGTGTGTTATATAAAAGGAGTTTATTGGTGATTATCTTTCTTCAGCAAAGGTTTCATAATGACTGAAGTGACAATAAACTTGTAATATGTCTAGTGAAGGATACAATACACATTGCTCAATTATCATAAGCTATATAAATCTAAGGAGTTTCATTACAATGTATAATGGACCATAAAGATGCGATATAAAAGAAAAGTTATATTGTAAAATTACTTGGTTATAAATAAATTACAATGGCATAAATTAAGGAAGTTGTACATAAATAATTTAGGTAAATACAAGGGTTGTACATGGGCAAATAAAATAAGACAAAACCATGTTCTGAAAAAAATATTAACAAAAGAAAAAGTTCTAAGAAGGTTTTAATAGTAGGCATTTTCCGAATAAAAAAAAAAGTAAAAAAGATGGTAACAGTCGACAAGTGTTTCTGACTATTGGTCTTCATCAGTACGGTGCAGCCATGTTCAGGATCATGGAACTTGAGCTGGAAAAATTGAACAAAAGGAGAGGTCTCTAACTAAAGAACTACTTATAAAACTTAACATTTTTTAACAATTAAATAATGTTATCGATACCTCCCAACAAACAATTTAGGAATAATAAAATTTTTGCGGTTTCAGCCAGTATACCCCTAATTTTCTGGGCTTATACTAACGTCACAAAATGATTCGATGGTCTCCCTATGGTTATCAGCATATCTTTTTTAAAATCTTTTAGTATGCTAAAATAAAAAATACAAATTATATGATTTTGTAAATACACAAATATATTTGTGAAAACTTATACATAAAATGTTATTTCTTCCTTGTATCTTCTATCGTAAGATGCATTGTTAAATCCAGGTACAAAATACCAAGATATTTTGGAAATCCTGTAAAAATATAACATCAAACTACAAATGTTTTTTATTAAAATAAAACACTAAACGACTAAACTAAGAAATTATGTTATAAATAAAACATTTACTAGAGGAACAAAATAACACAACAGATAATAAAATTGACACACAACACTCAGATAACGAATGTTAAGGACGCCTTTAAACAACTAAAAAGAATAAAAGAAAAGATGGGGAAAAAAATTTAAATTTTAAATCACACTTCGCACCAATAAATGCCGAATAATAAACGTCGAACGCCGATCATAAGGTTATCACTAAACTTGCACTGATTCTGTCTTCTTAGTAGTGCCAACTTAAAATTTACACTTTTTTCGCCCATCATATTGGGGGTCAACATTTTTTCATGATGCGGTAGAATCCGTTTTACGAGAGAAGAACCGACCTGAAGTTGCAGTCGTATGTGCGAAGGTGTCTTCATAACCAGCACCCACAAACTTTGATTTTCTTTTACTATACGGAGAATGGTCGCACTGCGCAGCTTTCTGAGTGCCTTTTAAAAGGAGATAGAAAACTCCGCCATTTTGATCCCTTATTACGTGTTGCCTACATCTTGGCGCAATATTTTTAATAGGTGCGTTTTAATCATCCGCTTCTGCTTCGGAATTGTCGGTTTTCTTCACATACTTTGATTACTATACGAGGCAAGAGAGAGGTCCGATACGCCCGACATAGGGCGCGGCCATTTTGAACCCTGTGACACAGTTTACAGCTAAAGAATCAGATCGCACACTCTGCGTCGGCACTTTTGATATCAATGTTTCAGTTTATACACTGTGCAACTCGGATAATACAATATATGACAACCGCCTGCAATAAAACAGCAGTATTCTGCGTATCCTGAATTTGTATCCCTGGAGTGGATGTTATTTTGGAACTTTCAACTGGTCCGAGTGAGCTAACTGATTCTTTAGCAATAAACTGTGACTTCAAAAATAATATTCACTGACACTGACAGCAGCAAGCAAAATATCAGGTGCGTTTTAATCATCCGTTTCTGCTTCCGGAATTGTCGGTTTAGTCGTTTTAACCTGTCAGATTAAAACAAGAAAACCGGCAATTCCGAAACAGAAGCGGATGATTAAAACGCACCTATTAAAAATATTGCGCCAAGATGTAGGCAACACGTAATAAGGGTTCAACATGGCGGAGTTTTCTATCTCCTTTTAAAAGGCACTCAGAAAGCTGCGCAGTGCGACCATTCTCCGTATAGTAAAAGAAAAAAAGTATGTGGTTTTCTTGTTTTATAACAAAAATTTAAATAATTTTTCATCACAATTTTGAATTATTTATCACTAAATCCGGCGTTTGTAATTTTTTTTTAGATTTAATTAATTCCTAGATAACATTTGACGCTCCTTGTCCCCGATTTCCATAAATATATGTTATTAAGGGTCGATTACACCGTTGTGTTAAACGGAGATTAAAATGACATTGTTAATGTAAAAATGTAATTTTAAACTTCGTTTAACACAACGGTGAAATCGGTCCTAAGTTATATTTAAGGCTGCTCATATATTTCACTTTAAAAATATTAATAGAAATTTTAAGACCATCAATAAAAACAAGCTAATTATTTGGCGCAATCTGTGAAGCTTTTTTGTTTTAATACGATCCTGCCTATCAATACCTTATTTTATTACAAAATCTTTAAATACGCTTTAATCCGACCCTGACTAAGACCCCCGAATGGCGTCGTCAAGGTCAAATTTTCTTAGTATATTTGTATGCGATCAGCGGAGAGTGGGCCTGCCGATTGTTTTTTATGCCGTGGTCACAGTTTATTGCTAAACAATCAGTTAGCTCACTCAGACCAGTTGGAAGTTTCAAAATAAGATCCACTCCAGAGATACAAATTCAGGATACGCAGAAGACTGCTGTTTTATTATGGGCGGTTGTCATATATTGGTATTAGCTGAGTTGCGCAGTGAATAAACTGGAATATTAAGATCAAAAGTGCCGACGCAGAGTGAGCGATCTGATTCTTTAGCTATAAACTGTGGCATAGGAATCAAAATGGCCGCGCCCTATGTTGGGCGTGTCGGACCTCTCTCTTGCACCGTATAGTAATCAAAGTATGTGCCAGCACCACATTATAAATTTGTTGTTTGACTTCAAATCAGTAGCGGAACCACTTCAAATTTAATGCTTAAATAAATATGGAAATAGTGTTGTCAAAAAATGCAATTTGCAAATCCTTTCTAGACTCTATTAAATATGTAATATAGAAAGGAATGATCACTTTCATAGGTTTTGTATTACATAAATTATTCAAATGGTAAATAAATATGGTATTGAATTGGCAAATGGGAATTGGAGATAGGGGTGAAAATGCAACCCTTACAGTTTTTCAATTATATCTCGAAAACGAAGCAAAATTCAAGTATAGTTAAAACGAAATTTTTTATAAATGCGATTTCACATCGAAATTATTTAATTTTTTTTTTAGAAAAAATTGTAAGAAAAAAGAATTGAATTTAATAGAAAAAATAATTAAGGAGGTCCTTTCGCCACCAATGTTAAATAAAAAATATTAGATTATGACTAAAATTTATTTTTTTATAATAGTGAACTTTTAACTATACCTTACCATGCAAATTTTTGAGAATTTTTTTTTTTTCAAAAATGTGAGTATTTGTACAGTGTCTTACAAAAAAGTAAGACCTTAATAACAATTTTCGAATTATAATTAAGTATACTATTATTTATTGATTAGATGGAGTAGAAACAAACTAAAAATAAGGTTTTCCAAATATTTAGGTTTTGTTTTTTACAATAAAATATATAGGTTACCGTGGAATTTATTGAAAAATTAATATTAAAAAATCACAAAAAATTCTCAAGTAACCTAGCTTAAAATGGAGTTAAAACATTTGGCAACGTTGCGTAGCGCGCGAACTTCAGACCATTGAATACATTCAATGTTAACTTTAACGCAATTATGTTTTTCATTTATATTTATTAATTTATTTATTTTTACCAATTTTTTTTATTTCATAATTGAAAATATCACAATAAATGAAAAATATTAGCTTAGAGTACTATCCAATTATTTATTTATTTATTTATCTATCATAATGAGATATACTTACACATTATTGATTATAGTTTTTTTTTTTATTTAAATTAAATTAGGAAACAAATGAGTAAATTGAAAACAATTTTTTTAAGAATAGTGTAAATTTAATTATTTAGTCATAATGTAATATTTTTTATTTAACATTGATGGCGAAAGGACCTCCTTAAACCAATAAGTTTTTAAGGAGGCATGGTTTTAGAATAAATAAAATACACAACACTTACTTATAAACCTTTTAAAATAGTCTAAAATCAAAAATATTTAACAAATAACGATTCCAAAAACACAACCTCAAAATGTCAAACGCCTAACATCGTTAACAAATAAATAAATGACATAAAAATGTTCGTTCTACGCCAGTGGCGTGATCCTGTTATTACTAAGCGACGTAGATAAACAAGACATAATTTTGTTTCTGCGACTGTCATTGATGCAAATACAGCTGGGTTCTTCTCTCGTAAAACGGGATCTATGGGACTTACTTAGAGCTATGTGCCTGACTAAACGCCTAATTTACAGGATTTACGTAGGATAGATGACATTTCGTATACACTGAAATTATTTAATGATCTTCTATCGATTTCACCAAAAATATTTATATATAATTTATTAATGGAATCATAACCTCATTTTACTAATCATACTAACGATTCATAGAGTGTTTGAAAATCACGATATTGCCCAACTCTACTTTACTTTGGGTTGCTAGTGCTAATAAAAATAATATACCCAATAATGAGAACGCTATATGAAAGTTCCATGAAAATTTTATGATTACTAATTTTACTTTTAGGTACAAGTGCCGGTAATGTTGGATTGGCCTTATCTCAAATTTTCAGCATTGGTTACATCATAATCTGGGTAATAAGGCAATATATAGATTTGGAAAGCATGATGACGTCTGTTGAAAGAATTTTTGAATATACAGAAATCGAAACCGAAAACCAAACTGGCTCTATGGCAAAAAATTGGCCTCAAAATGGAGCTGTCCAATACGATAAAGTATCCCTCAAATATAACTCCTCCGATATTATTTTAAATAATTTAAACTTCGATTTGTTGTCCAAGCAAAAAATAGGCATAGTTGGTCGAACTGGTGCCGGAAAATCTTCTATAATTTCCACATTTTTTAGACTCTACGATGTGAAAGGAAGAATACTAATTGACGATATTGACATCAAAACTGTCCCTCTAAAACACCTTCGACAAAATCTAGCCATTATTCCCCAAGATCCTGTTCTCTTTTCTGGTACTATCCGTTCAAATCTTGACCCATTTGGACAGTTTGGAGACGATGATCTATGGAAATTGTTGGAAAAAGTTCATTTAAAAGGTTCTGTAATGAAGTTAGATACGGAAATCAGCAGTAGAGCTTCTAATTTCAGCATGGGACAAAAACAAATGATTTGTATCGCCAGAGCCATTTTGACGAAGGCCAAAGTGCTTATTCTGGACGAAGCCACTGCTAATTTGGACCAAGAAGCAGAAAACATGATTAACGATGTTATCAAAGATAATTTTTCTGAGTGCACAGTGATAGTAATTGCGCACAGATTACGATCCATATTGGAATGTGACAAAGTGATGGTTTTGGATCGTGGAGAAATTAAAGAATTTGACAGTCCGTCGAAATTAATGGAAAACCAAGACGGCTATTTTTATAAAGTTGTAAAAAAATATCTATAAATATAATCAATTAAAATAAATTATTTTTAACTAGTGTTTAATTAATTTTCTTATTCTTATTTGTATTCTGGAAGTCAGTAACGGCAATTGTTAAGATGGTATATCAGACCATATGAATTTTTCTTCGATTTGCAGGTAATTTTAAGATGGATGTTGTTATTCTCTCATATTAATTCTTCACAGTCACCTGAAGCCAAACAATTCATTTTGACGTTATTTTTCAAATTATATTAAAATTAAAAAAAGTGGTACTTTTGTTAATAAATCACTAATACAAATTATTACGAAAAAGAACTTTTGGGATCCCGATAAACAGCATCTATATAATAAATATCACATTATTTTCAAATGGGTGTCCTTGTTAAATTATTTTTATTTTATAGTATTTATTATTTATATACAATCTTCTAAAAACAAAATTTGTGTTATTCCTTATACGATTGATACGTTAAAGTTCATAGGTCACTGGAGTAACTTCCAGTGCAGTGCAGGTATATAAATTAAGAATCATAAAATATACTAAAAATTTATGGATGATATCTATACTTCCAATCCAACCCGCACAATCACCATGGAGGAATATCTCTACTAAAAGGACCACATTCAAAACTTTGCCAACCAGCTGCAACAAAACCTGAAGAAGAACTGGTAATTTAAAATAATACAAATGGTTACCGTAAACGAGGTGAAAAGAAATGGAAGCAGAAAGGTAGAATACAAATAAAATGACAGTTTTTTACCAAAAAACCCAATTTGCTTAAATTTAATCCGGAAAATAACTAATGAGGTAAATAAACTCACTACAGCGCAAAAGTAAGTTTTACGTTTTTACTGTTGGCAACACTGGACAACAGCCATTTCACTTGAACATAAGGTTTAATCACATTGCAATAACCATAAAAACTTTCTGTAACAAGCTAATAAAAAAATCATAATATAGCTTAATGTGTACATATTTATTAATCTTCAAATATAAAATTATTGACTTAAAGTTAATCAAAATATGACTCAAAGTGTCTCCACTTGTCATATTACAAAATAGTGTTTGTCATCTCTACCTACTTCATTCTCTATCATCAACGTTTCCAACTTTCTAATCAAGCTGTTAAATTCTAAAAATAACATGAGACAATTTCAATTGTGTATTGTATTTATTAAAAATTAGGTTTAAATAAAACTGCGACTTTAATAAATTGGAAGTATGTGTGTCAATTCAACGAATGTTAATAAAAAACGTCTTAGGTAAAAAAATACTCTTATTTTTGAGGTTAGGTTTGTTTATTTCCAAATTACGGTTGTAATTTATATTTTGTTTTTTGTTCCAGGTTCTACAGAATAGTCATGCGTTTTATACACAACTATGCGTTGAGCAAATTTTTATTTGTTTCCAACAAAAGACAAACGAAGTTTTAAAAAAGTATGATAATTTTATTATATATTTTACTTTAAACAAAGATAACTTCTTGACCGTAGGACAATTTTATATAAATAATTGTTTATTTTGTTGTCCCTATAATGAATTTAAAGTTATAGAAAAATGTCCTATCTATAAATACTAGAGGTATTGATAAACAGTGTCAGACTGATGTAGCGCTGAGCATTTTATAAACTTACATTACAGTTTTTTTAAAGACGATATAAAATATAAATATTGCACTGGCTTAAATTAATTTAAGAAACTTAATAGTTGTATCTATCTTAGGTATGTACTTACACCATAAAGACTAAATTAAATATTTACCGATATTTATCTCGGAGGTAAACTGACCTATGTCGACATAATGCAGTTTTTTGAAGGTTATATTTTTAAATTCGGCTCATCGGGACCTTTTTAGGGGTATTGTATATCATGTATAGTGATGTCACAATAAAAGTGACTTAAAAAAAAGATAACGCTATGGTCAATGTTCAATAAACTTACAAGTTAAACGGTATGTGACACTATGCCATAAAAAATGTGTTACCAGAACATATGAAAAGGATGAAAATATAATAAGAACCTTCAGAACTCCTAAACACAAAACTAAACTTTGACAGCGAGTTAACATGGAACTCTCATTTAGAAAACAGAGTCAAAAGAGCATACATTGCTTATGAACAATGCCGCCGAACCGTGGGGCACACCTGGGGTTTCTCCCTCCAGAGTCATCGCATGGACTTATACCAAGACCTATGCTAACATACGGTGTGCAATTATCTGAGTACTGAAAACCCAAAAATTAATAGCTATCCGTAAACTAGAACAAATTCAAAGAACAGCATATCTCAACATACCAGGAGCCATGAAAACAACACCGACCAGAGCCATGGCAGTCTTTCTTAGTCTCACTCCCCTTGATATTTACATTAAGGAGGTTGCTCTGGCGATAATGACATGCCTCCGTACTGTTAGAATAGAACCAAATGTAGGATCTAGTGAGGCGAGACGTCGCTTTTGGCAGGAGGCGCTCGATACGCTGCTACTACTTCAAGCGAACATGGACTCCATCTCACCAAGATATATCTTTCATAAGCCATATAAAGTTAAAACAAATAGAAGAGCCGGAAGTGGCAGGTACGATTCATATCTATACCGATGGTTCTAAAACAAAACAAAGCTCAGGATGTGGAATATACTCCAGATTCTTAAACTTAAATCTAAAATGGGCTTAGTGCCAGTGTATTTCAAACAAAGCTAACGTGGATTCTCATAGCAGCAAAAGAAATCACCAGAATCAATTTCACTGGAAGGAACATGCTGATCTGTACAGATAGTAGACAAGCACTACTCACCCTGAACAAAACAAGAGTTTACTCATGGTTAGTACTAGAATGTTACGAAGCTTTGGCCGAAGTATCCATCAACAATGTGGCCACCTTAAGATGGATCATAGTCCAATCAAATAGACCTTTAAATCAAAATTTTGAAGGAAATACAGGAATTTTTGATATAAGTCAATTAAGAGTATTTAAAAACAATATGTAATAAAATTTTGTTTTTCAGGCACCGGCAAATGTTAAAAAACGAGAAAATAAAATGTTTTTTTAAAAGTTATTTAAAAACGGTAGGTGCTATGAAAAAAAGTATTTAAAAAAAAATTGTAAAACAAAGTTTTACATAAAAATGATATTTGACATTTTTTGCTATTATTAAAACTGACAGTTAGGGGGTGGTTAGAAATTAAGAGGAGATATACATGACTTGGAAAAATCAATGATTTTGTATTTGTATTATTTACTCAGAAAATTATAAATATTTTAATGTCATCATTGTGCTTAACTTTTTTATTGCTAAATTATTAATAATTTCATTTTGTGTAGTTCGTTGTGATTTGTATAATATATATTATAAAAACCTATGGTCAATGTAAATGTGCCAAGTTTTTTTAATAATTATGTCCTTGTTATAGTAAAAACACATTTAAACACATTTTTAAAGTTTTCAATTGAAGTGACTAATTGTGTGTTTAAGTAAAGGTATAATTCTTTTTTGTTATAACAGTCTTTGTATATTGTTCTAACTTTTTAGATAATCAGAGAAAACAGTAAGACATCTTAATATATCCTATTTTACAAACAAAAATGTAGAATAATTAATCTCACATCCAACGAAAAAAGTCATTTTAGGATGTCCTGATAGGTTTCAACTTAAAAACTAAATAAAATGTATATTGCAACTGTGTTTAAATAAATGAATGTTTTTATACCTGACTATAGCACCAGACAAACATTTTTTTAGATCATAATGATCTGCATAATTTAAAATAGTCAAAATCCACATTATTTAAGTTGTTCTAGTATTGTTTTAGCATAACGATGTAAACTCCAAATATTCACATTTTTTGAGACGTTTTTTAAGGAAATTAAAAAAAAAACATGAATAATGTGATATTCTTGTTTAGTTTTGTACTATATAATAGGTAGTGATTTAGAAGCAAATTATGTTCTATTTATAGAATAAAAAATCATTCATAATATCTAAATATTTATATCTATTTATATTTTGGACAGGAAGACTATTTTATGTTTTTGGCTCTGAATAGTTTTCTTAAAAATTTTAAAACCTTCTTTAGCTCTTTTGGGATATTCCATGCATATCTTAGAAGTTCATTTTGTTTAAACCTATAACAAATTAAGTACAAAAAATGAAAATTTAAACAATACACAAAATTAGTCTTTTAGATTAGTTAAAAAAAGTGTCAACAAACAAATGGCTATGCCTTTTTCCTTAAACATTATTTTTGAAAGAAACTTAAGTTTCTCTACTTACTTGCTGTTTTAGTATTTTAGTAGCAGATGAATACAGTGTAGAAGTAGTGACAGGATTGATTATTATACTTCTTAAGTCGAAATTGCATTTTTCTTTAATATTTTCCTCCCCTGAGGTCTGTAATAAAAATGTTCATTTAGCATAAAAAGTTATTCAGGTAGTCACTTGTTGAATTCCTATATTTTGGAACCATGTATTTCTTTCTCATATCAAGAAAAGGAAACCTAAAAAAAATAACAATAAACTTTACAAAGATGTGATCTTAAAATAATAGTAAGTAATTAACCTTTACTATAATCATTATGAGACGGATGAAGACGAACTTAGCTGGAGTTTACTTGCTCTTAATTTTAATTTTTCGATAAGAAAATAAGAAAGTTTAATTGCAAATTAAAGGTGATTGCCTAATGCACCGCCTCTGATAATTAGGTTGTGTCTGTACTTACTTATGATATTATCTTGAAGAAGCATTTTCAACAGGCCTTTTACACATAAAGCATGTTTTCACCATATTATTAGAGATCTTAAATATACATTTACAACCCTTACAATGTTATAAATAATAATATTTTCCGTAAAATACAAATAAGAAATTGACATGTGTCAGAAAGTGTCAGAACTGGCGCTGTCAAACTGATTAAATAAGCCAATTACAGAAGAGGTATTTTCCCCCTCGGGGGGAGTAGATGTTGCTAACAAAATTTAGCGCGGGGAAGGGGGGAAGACTCCCTCTA